GTCTCTGTCCCCCTAATCCTCCGTGGTGTATGGTCCAATGCAGTAGGGACGCCTCCTCCACTGGGGAAATCTAATTTCCAAGGCTGAATGCAATTGTGGTTTTCTCAGCTCCCTGAAAATCCTGCTGCTTCCCTTGGGCAGCTGTTGGCACTGCTCAGTCGAGCCCAGGCCCCCGGGGAGCTGAGTTCCTCAGCTTTCTTGCTCACTTGGTCTGTTTTCCCCATTTCTTTCTTAGGGTCTGATTATCACAGGAGCTCCTCCTAGAACATTGGCATGGGCCCGCGGGGCCGGGGGCCCCTGCAGCCTGAGACGAATCCCTTCCAGTCCTTTTTCTGTGCATGGGCTTATGCGCACAGTTGTCTCCACATTCGTTGCATCTTGTCTTTCTGGCCACATCCCTTGTTCATGACCATTACTTACTTCGAGCTGGGGATTTGGTTTTTCCTATTGATTTATGAGAGCGTTTTATAGACAAAGGATATCACTTTACTACTGGATATTGCAAAGACTTGATCCCAATGTGTCAATTGTCTTTTAGTTTCCTTTATGTGTTTCTCTCCTTTTTTCTATTGTGGAAAATTACAAATGCACAGGGGTAGAGAGACTAGTGTGACGCATCCCCTTATACCCCTCCCGGTTTCCGCCATGATGAAGTCACAGTCTAGAAGGAAAGCCATCGTTTGTCTTTTGTCTGAAACGTTCTGTACATGTGCTACTGTAAATGTTGTCTCTTAAGAAGAAAAAACAACTATAACCACAATACATGGCTTTTATTTTGGATGTACAGAAATGTTTCGTTCTCACAAAGTCAGGCCGATCTGTCTCTCCTGGCTCTCCTTGGCGGTTTCTTCCAGCGCTTTAAGGCTGAACAGCCTCCTCCCATGCAGTCACTCAGGCTCCCCAGACCCCACACTGACTGTGAGTGACCGTGTGGTCCTGGCTGGGACAGATGGATGAACAAGGACTCCACCCTGTGCGAACCCCATGCTCCAGGCCTCCTGCTCTGTTTCTGTCTCAGCCTTGGCACAGTGTGTGTTGACCAGAAGCTGTCCCCATGGCTGTAACCACAGTAGCGGGTAACAGGGTGAAGATGGGCCCCCACCAGGACTGGCCAGTGGTGCAGGGAGCAAGTGTTCATCATGCTGACCGTGCTGAAGTGTAGATGTGATGCCCTCGTGGGAGAGGGGACTCGGCACCACCAGACCTGGGTTCTGCTCCTCTGTCCCTGCTTGCACCACTTGCTCCCCATCTAGGTGGGCAGGGGTGTGGGAGTGTGGAAGGTTCAACCCGTGGCCGGTCCCATTTCTTCCCCCGGGGTGGACAGGGACAGCAGGCAGATGGCCAGTGAGGGGTCAGGATTGGAGTCCAAGCCTCCTGCCTACCTCCCCCTGCTGGCCTGACCCTTAGGAAATTCCTCTAATTCCTCAACCCAGATCGGATTCAGGCCCCATAATTTGATTTTCTGGAGCAGGGTTTGGCTGTACTCCCTGGGAGGAGGAATGTCTGGGTTAGCAGAAAGACGTCAAATGTAGGCTTAGGTTCTGGAGGCAGGATCCGCGTCTTCCCCCAGTGCCTCCGGTAGTGCCTTCTCTTTCCTGACGGAGTGTGTTGCCTTCAGCCGTGCCCAGAAGGCTCGGGAGCAGGGCTCCCTCCTCCCAGAGCCTTGTTCTTGCCCACCTGCCCCCTCATTCATCCGTCCAACTGTCCGTTTACTCATTCCTCTAGCCAGTCTCCCATTCCGCCGCCCGTCCTTCTAACCACTCACCAACTGCCCGGTACCCACCTGTCTACCCGCCCACCCATCTACCCCCATCCTCTTATACAATGACCTACTTATTCTGCAATCCACACATCCATTTACTCATCATTCATTTCCCCTTCCATCTGCCTCTGTACTTGCATCCCTCCACCCACCCCCCAGCCCATCCACCTGGGTTCACTCCTGGGTGTCCAAATCTGGACACGCTTTCCCCAGGTTGAGCACCTCCACTCCTGCCCCGAGACAGGCAAGACTGTGTCTGGGTGGCATGTTCGTTCCTGTCTTCTTGCTAAATTACCTCCATGGGCAGGCGGGCGTGTCTGGTGAAAAGTGACTTGCAGAGGTGGTGGCTGGGGTCAGGGTGGGGGTTGGAATAGGTCTGCCCTGCCCAGGTGAGCAGTGGCTTTGATGACATCAGCCAGGGAGATGTGCGAAGCTCAGCCAAGGTCCCACAGTGTGGCACCTCCCTGCCTGCCTCCGGAGCCACCCAGGACACAGCAGGAGTGAGTCCGGTGCCCACCGCTACCCAGGATCAGGGCCCTACCCTGGGGCCTGGCCTGGGAAAATATCTTTGAAGTCTCATGGTTGACCTTAAAATTCTTGCACATTTTGCCTTTCGTGTCATTATATATTTATTGTTTTAATATAAAACTAGCATTTTGAGTTACCATCAGAAAAGCTGCCTCTGAGGCGATGGCCCGAGTCACCCGCGCTCACACGTGCTCCTGCACACCTGGGACCTGGGGAAGCTGCTGTGTCAGGAGAGTGGGCCTGCTTCCCAGATGCCCCCACTCTCCTGCGCACGCCAGGGCTGCCCTTGAAGCCACCAAGGTGATGAGGCTGCAGCCTGCAAGGTTTGGCGCCCTCACTCAGAGGCACACAGGGGGGTACCCCCTCAGGCTGGAGCAGAGGGCATTGGCCCAGGACTTGGGGGTCTCTGTTCTCCTGCGTGCAGCTGTGGGGCACTGTACCCGCAAGCTGCCTGGCATTTGACGGCGTCACCTGGGAGACACACAGTCATTTAACGCCGGCTGAGAGAACTGGGCAATGGAAAGGTCAGCGTGGGGTTTGGCCACCTTCTCACTATAGCCTCAGAATTCTGGGCTCCTGGCCAGGCCCCAGCGAGAGCAAGTGGGCCCCCTTCGGGGGCTCCTTGGACCCCAGAGCTGGGTGGGGCATGCTAGAGGGCCCAGGCCAGGGAAGCTGGAGGCCAAGGCTGCTCCCTTGCCTGCTGCCCTTGGGTTCTGCAGTGCAGGCCTGGTCCTGCTGGGTGAGGGGAGGGGAAGCCTGAGGACAGCCAGCAACTCATGGCTCTGCACAAGGATGGAGGGAAGCCACGTCCTGGCCACGAGGCCAGCAGCTGCCCCACGGGTCCTGATCATCACCTCCCGGCGCACACCATCCTCTCATACGAGTGGCCTTGGTCTCAGCTGTGATGCCCAGGGCCATGAGGTGTAGCCATGACTGCCGTGCTGCAAGCGAGGCTGCCTGCAGGCTGACCTGCTTTGACCTCCGCCCTGCCTCGTGCTGCCCTTGAGGGAGGAAGGGCCCACAGCTGGGGGCAGCCAGGTTTAGCTGATCTGTGCCTGGTACCCCTGCACAGGCAGTGGTGGGTGTGCACGAGGCTGTGTGCCATGGCTGTGTACACGCCACGTCATCTGTCCCTTACTCCCTGCTGGCCAGAGGACCTGGCTGACATCTTGCCCGTTGCATCCCCACCTCTCTGTGGGTGCCAGGACCTCTCTCAGCAGGAGTTCGTTCGGTTCATTCTTCCCACCATGCTGACCTCACTGCCCCTCCTCTAGGTCACACCGACAGTTTATTTGTATGACTGGTGCTGGGGAGATGAAGAACAGTTCCTGGGACCTACACTGGCCTCTTTTCCCCTCTGGGCCTCGGTTTCCCCAGGTGTCACAGTGGACTGTACTCTGTGATGTCCTTTCAACTTGAGGTGCACCCATACTCCCGCCAGCGTGCCTGGCCCAGCCAGCATCGGTGTGGCCGAACCCAGCACCGACCCTTTCTCTGTGGTGCTCTGCCCTTGCAGCTGGCTCTGACTTGCAGAGCTGGACCTTCTCAGGTGCTGCCCACTGTGCTGCGTCTCGAAGCTCAGGCTCTGCATGGGTGGAAGGGGGAGGGGCCGGGTGAGGGGCCAGCGGAGGCGGCCTCAGTGGACTGGTGAGGGTCGGGCCAGGAGGAGGCCCTGAGCAGCATTCGCACCACGAGGCACACCAAGTGCCTGGCAGTGTGGGCACGTGGTCTGCACCCCCACGTGCTGCTGTGCGGCTGGATGTGAACTCCAAATAATCCTTCTGCTTCTTTTTGCCTGTGAAAAACAAACACACTGAACAGCCAGGGAGCAAGCGGTGAGGAAAAGCACTGGTTCGTCATTGCAGCTGCCAAGCCCCACCACCCCCACCAGATCCCCTAAGACCTGCAGGGGAAGCCCTGGACCGGGACCCAAGCAGGCCTGACCCTCCCAGCACACTGGGCCTGGGTAGCCCAGGCCCCTGTCCTCACCTCCCTCTGGATCCAGTGTCAAGCACATGGGCCACCTTCAAGCACAGAATTGCAAACAGGCTGTACTTGGTTTTCACTCTGTGGTGTGGGTAACATCTTGCTTGTTCCAGCCAGCATAGCTGCGGATGGGGCCCAGACCACTGGGCTATAGGCTCCACCCACAGTGTCACCCCTGCGCCTGCCTAGGTGTCCTGGGCACCTGGCAGCTGTGGAGTGACACCTCATTCCGTGCTCACTGGTGCATTCGCTCTGCCACACCAGCTATGTCTCTACGGACAGGTCCCCCACCCTCTCTGGGTCCCGACATTCACCTCGATGAGCCCGGGGTGGTCCTATGAAATTGGGGTGATCTGGCATGTACAGCGGGCAGGAGAGGGCCTGGGAGATCTGAGCACTGGTCACACCAAGCCCTTCTGGCCCTTCCCTTTCCAGTGGGCTCTGGGACCTCCAGGGTCCACGGTTCTGCTGGGCCTGCCAGGGAGCAGTGAAGATTGGGTCAGAGCCACACACTCCGCAGGGAAGGAGCCAGCTGCTTCAGGCCAGCCTCAGATTAATGGCTTTTAATTTAGAATTTAATCAATGTGGCTTCTCTCTGGAGAGCTGGATGCTCCATTCTGGGAGTGAGTTGTATGATTTGTGAGTGGGGTAGGCAGGGGCCCGTGGTGGCCTCTCCAGGCCTCTGCTTTGGCCCTACTTTGACCTTGTTCTGCTTTGCCTGCAGCCAGCAGGCGTCCTGGTCATGGAGGACTGCAACGTGCACTCAGCCGCCAGCATCCTGGCCTCGGTGAAGGAGCAGGAGGCTCGCTTCGAGCGGCTGACATGGGCGCTAGAGCAGGAGCGGCGCCATGTTGCCCTGCAGCTGGAGCGCGCCCAGCAGCCTGGTGTGGGCAGTGGTGGCGTGGGCAGTGTGCAGCCCCTGCCGATGGCCTGGCAACAGCTGGTCTTGCAGGTAACTACCCAGTGACGCAGGAAGGGTAAAATGGCCAAGTGGGAAAACAATCAAGAGGCCCTGATGGGCCACAAGCCAGCATGCATTGGCTTATTGCAAGACCTCCTGGGGCCTCTGAGAAGGAGAGAAAAGTAAGATCCCAGACAGACTGGAAATCCCACTCGGTGTGCAGGGCACCATGTGATGAATGGGCAGGATACAACCTGACCCTCAGAACAGCACCCTCCACTTGAGTGAGCCCTCAGGACCCAGGCAGCTGGACAGGGTCTGTTTCGGGCAGCTCAGTGGTCAGCATGGTGACACTGATGGTTTTGCCAGCCCTGGAATCTCCCTGCCATGGTGTTCTTCATAGCATGGGTCAGCCCCAGGGTTAGGGTTGGGGCAAGACAAGGAAATGCGGGAGTCCTGGAGTTTGGCACAGTCATTTTGGTTCCCATTATTAACTGAGGCATGGGGTAGTGGACAGGCAAGGGTGGAGCTGTCCCAGGCATTTGTGGGGAGCTAGGAGAAGGGTCCCTGGATGGGGGTCCACCATGCAGGCCTCCCACTGTGGTCCTTCCTTGCCATCAGGCTCAGGGGCCTGCTGATTCCTCTGGTTTCCACGTAGTGACCCTGGAGGGCCCTTCAGCAGGTTCCTCAGTTCCCTGGGCAGGGCAGCAGGGTCACTCTCCTAAACTTGGCAGCCAGAGCTCCTCTCGATGTGTCCCCTAGCACATGCATACCCTCCCTTCTCTGCTCCTGCTGAGGCTTCCAAAGGTGAGGCCTGCACTTCCACACTCAAGAGGGAGCAGAAGAGCCCAGCTGGGCCACATGGGGACAACAACAGCTGATGACCCTAAGGCCACCCCTCAGGCGCCAGGCGCTCTCTCCAGCCCTCCCTGGCCGGAAAAAGCTTTGACCCTTCAGCCCAGAAGGCACTGCCAAGGGTTGATGCCCCCGCAGGGAAGAGTTTCCCATGGCCTGGAGCTGCCCTGGCTTCCTGAGGGCTGTGGAGGGAAGACCTCAGACCACTATCCCTCTCTCCCTACCACCCCTCCCCACCCAAGGCTTTCCCAGACTGCCCTTGATTTTCTCTCTCTTGGGAGGAGATGATTTTCCCAGTCTGAGATAGGAGAGAGTGTGCTCCCAGGGCAATGGCTAGACTGGCAGGGCAGATGGGAGGTGGGGCCACATCTGGCTGTCCAGCCCCAGCAGCCTCGATGCCAAACCTGCTTTCCAGACCCATCTCAGCGAGAGGTGCCTGGTGACCTACCTGCTGAGCCACAGGGCTACTTGGAGCTGGTCCTCAGGGTCAGAGCTGGGCTCTGCACCGCTGGGAGCTGGTGGCAAGGCGGGTAGCTGGAGCCAGAGGGTTGAGAGGTCAGGGGCTACTGCTCTTGTGATCCTCCCCCCGCCCCTGCACCCACCCCCAAGGCTGCTCCACAGTCCTGGCTGCCTGCCCTTCCTCCTCCAGCAGGAAGGGTTCTGTCCTCCAGATCCCTGGCTAGAGCAGAGCTGGCCCTCACCCAGTGTTGTGCGGGGTGGGGGGTAGGGGGGGGAACGGGCCGGGGGGATGCCGTAGGGACCTATCCAGCCTTGGGCTGGGGCACTAGCAGCTGGTAGAATTTGGGAGAAGACAGAAATGAACCCAGTGTAAGCGTCCAGGCCAAGTTCCCATAGGGCAGTGGTCCAGTCCCCCTACTTCTGCTCCACCCAGAGCTGCCATGGATAGATGATTTAGGGGGCCAGTGGTCAGGGCAACTCACCCTGTGCAGGTGGTAAAACTGAGGCTCAGAGGGACATGCAGTGGACACCCAGAGCTTGAGCATGCTGGCTGCATGGTGTATGCACATGGCATGCCTTGGAAGAAAAGAAGCCCTGTGGTGACTCGGTTTTCTGAGTGGGGTCTGTGGAAAATCAGATAGGAGGCATGCTGGCCCCAGCTCTGTTCCTCTCAGGGCCTATTTACCTTGATCATAATGCAAGAGCTTGTTTTTGTGGGGTGTGACTCAAGAGGTGTAGCCAGCCCTTCCCCTGCCTACAATCCTTTCCAGCAGAGCCAGACTCCCCAGGATGTGACTGCACCTTCTCACCAGGCTTCTGGAAGGAGCGGGTAGTGCCCTCTGATTAACCAGCCTCTCTGAACCTCCCCCCACCACCACTTCCCCATAGATCAAAGGCATGGAGGAGAGAGTGTATGAGGCAGCTCAGGCTCACAAGCTTTCACCCAGGGCCACCCAATAGTTTTCCCTCCCTTTGATCTGCTCTGACACTTTTCAGAGGGATCCTGGGCCTGTGTCTTGAGGGGGAAGACCTAAGACAAAGTGGGTCAGTGAAGGTCCGTTTGCCATGTCTGGGTTGAGTTCTATGGGGACACTTGGAGAGGCTCTTTGGGAATGGGCAGGGGCCTGGAGCCGAATCTTAGAGACCTTGCAGCGCTGTTAGCGTTGTTATCGTTGTAACTACTGTCTCATCGGCCCCCATTTCACAGCAGCGGGAAACTGAGTCATAGCTAGGAGGAGCAGCTTGTGCCATTGAGGATGGACTCGCACTCTGTCCATGGCCACACCGAACCCTGCACTGCCAGAATTGTTTCCCCAGCCTTACAGGGGGAGGGACGTGTGAGCTCTACTGGGGGCAAACCGAAGCCGGAGAAGGACCTGGCTCAAGTCACTGGGCAGGAAAAACATCACCCCCGCAGGAAAGGAGGGTGCGGGGGAGGGACGAGAAGCCCAGACCAGCTGGAGGAGAGACCCCGGTCCGCTCTGGCACCAGATCTCTCCACTCACCCGCCCGGCCCCGCCCGGGCCCGCCTACCGGTCCCCGCCCCGCCCCGCCCCGCCTGGGCGCGGCCCCGCCCGATTGGCTGCTCGCCGTGACCGCTGCCAGATCCGCCCCCGCAGGGAGCGAGTCTGTGGAGCAGGAGCTGGAGCGGTCGAGGCGTCGGATCCGAGCCCGGTCCAGTCGCCGTTGCCCCACCTCCGACCCGCGCCTCCCGAGCCGGCCCAATGCCGGCTGAACTCAGACAGGTTGGAGGGAACTTGGTTTCGGGCGATGGGGCCCGGTCCCGGGACCAGCGGCGGAGGGCGGGGCGCCGGCCTTCCCGGGAGGACCCGCTTTTGTTCCTTGGAGCCGCCGGCCGGAGGCGGCTATTGTCTGCGCTCCGGACCGGCGCGTCGGGCCTGGGCCGGGCGGGGCGGTGGAGTGAGCATGCTGCCAGAGGCTGTGCTTGGCGCGGGCCCGCGAGGTCTCCGGGGGCTGGGCGCGGAACCCCAGGGTGGTGCGACCCTGCACAGAGCGCGGGGCCGGGACCCGGTGGGTGCACCCCGGGCTAGCGTCCAAGACAGGTGCTGGCGACACGGGCGGGGGACAGAGGCCTTTCGCAGCGCTCCCCTCTGTGCAGGAGAGGAGCCGAGTCCGGAGTGGGAAGCCCGGCTAGGCTTCCTGCTCTTGGGGGTTCGCTGTGCCTCGCATCCCCTCCAAAGACCCAGCGCGGGTTCTGACCCGGGGGACCTACGAAGGAGGTTCGGGAGGGAGCGTTAAGGGAAGCCCTGTCTGCAGCAGCGCACGTGAGGGGAGGGGTGGAGGACAGCCCTGCACGTGCAGAGGCGGGTGGAGTCTCTGAGGAAAACCCGGGCAGCCTGCCTTCCAGTACTGGGGCTGGGGGAGGCATGTGGCTACCTGTACTCTTGGCCAGAAGGGGCGGAGTCCAATAGCAGGCCCAGCAATAGCCTGAGTGGAGAAGGAACAACCTCGTGGAGCCCCTTGTGCTGGGTGGTAGGTCTCCCACACGCTTGCCTCCTTGGGACGGCCAATCTCTACTTGCTCTGTATCCTTTGATGTAGCCTCCCAGGGTCTGGCCACTGACAGTTGACTACCCCAGAGATGGAAGGACCATTGCCGGTGTTAGGGAATTTTAGCCACAGTGTGGCCAATGGATATGGGCTGGGCTTCAGGAAGTTGGGGTGGATGACAGCCAGCTCTGCTTTCTGTCCCCCACTAGGCACCCACTACCCCTTGGCCTGTCTGCTATTCGGTGTGAGGCTGTGCCCTGGCAGGAGGGCTGCTGCTGTAGAGGAGCGAGCTCCAGTCCGTCAGGGCTGGGCAGAGGCCGTGGGCACCAAGGGAGAGGGTGTGTGGTGGTCAAGGACTTGCTCCGGGGTAGGAGGTGCTAGCCTGGCTTGTCGTTGAGTCCATGCTGGTGACAGGAGGCTGTCTCTCCTCCACCCCTCTGTTCATTCATTCAACAGCACCCATCTAATGCCCTCTGGGGGGCTGGCCCAGAGGTTATGGGAGCCAGGTGTGGGGTCCCATCCTAACCCATGTGTTTGCCTTGGGCCCATGGACAAGGTGGGGCACCTGCCCCGTGGTTTGTTCTTCATGATACAGACCGTGGGTGCTCATTTTCCAAGTGCAGGCAGTATAGGTAGATCCATGCCTCTGGGACCCCAGTCCAGCCTGCCCCCCCATTACAGCTTTGCTTGTTTCCTCAGTCCCTCCACCCTTGGCGATTCCCGCATGCACCCCAGAGACTTCTGTGGACTTTTGCCCTGGTGGTGACCCCTCTATGTGTTGTCCCACATCTGGCCACAAAGGTGGACTGGCACTATCCCCTGCCTGTCCCACAGCCTTGACATCCCAGGCCCTTCCTCTTTCTGTGTGAAGAAGCTGAGCCCTTGGTGTGTAGAGGGGCCCAGGGCCCTCTTGCTGTGCTCAGCTGCATGCCTCCAGGCACCCTCTGAGACCATCACCATTCTGGGGTACTCCAGCCCCCACTCAGAGGCCTGGGCCAGGCCCCTCCTGTAAGTTCAGGGGAGCTCATGGGAAACCCTCGGCTTGGACAGCAGCCCCCTCTCCAGGCCAGAAGCCTAAGAGCCATGGACCAGGTGGACCATGGATAGGAGTATCATGGGATGAATTAGGGCCCTGGAGGTAGATGACAGGAGGCTGGGCAGTGCTCCCAGGAAGAGCTACAAGGATGAGGCCGGGGCTGGAGAAGGGGTACCAAGACACAGCTGACAGGACTTGGCAGGATTTGGGACATGAGGGAGGGCTGGGGGTGGTGTGTCCAGGCAGGTGCCCATGTCTGGGGTATAGGGGGAACTGGGCCTGCAGGTCCAGGGGTCCCTGACGGTAGGCTGGCCTGGGCAGGTGGACATGGGTGAGGCATGGGGCCCTAAAGCAGGGACTCCAGGCCAGACAAGGATCCAGGCGCACTGGTCCGTTTCCTCTGTTGAGCACCAACTGCATGCTGGTCGTCAACCCATGGTCCCATGTCCCCACCCTGAAGCTGTTGCAGAGTTCCATGGTGTGGGTCGACCTTGGGCTTCTCCCTACCCTAGACCTCAGTTTCCTCATCTGCCGCTCAGTCTGAGACTCCAATAGTGGGTACCTGGGTGGTGGTCGAGGAAGTCTTGACACATGGCGGAGGACAGGAGGAGGTGTGAGGCCATGCGCGCACATACAAGTACCTCTGGGGATGGCGGGCACTGTGCACTGAGTGCTGTTAGGCGAGTACACGAACTGGTTTGTTTACTCAGCCCTGTGGGCCAGGCTGGGCTCTCATGCACACGTGTGTCCCTGTCAGAGGAACCAGGTACACTCACGTGAGCACAGGTCCCTGTCTGCATGTGTGTACTCAGGCATATGTAATGGAGGCCAGGCCCTCCCATGATCTCCAGCTGACTCAGGCTCCTGCCTGCCTGCCCGCCTGGGTGAAGTCATCGCCTGTTTTTAGCTCCTTGAGGTCATTTGCCAGCAGGGGCTCTCAGTGCCTCAGGATTGCGCTGCAGGGCTGCCTGGACCCGGTGTTGGTGGGTGATGCTGCGGGATGGTCAGGCCTTGTTGGAGGACCCTAGCTCTCCTGGACACCCCATCCCCTCATCTTCCTGAGTGCACGCTGTCAGAACCTCAGGAGTGAGAAGAATAAGCTGGACCGTAGAGTAGCATTGAATCTGAGATAGGCTCCCTACTATCACCATCCCAGCCAGGGAGCAGGGGCTGTTGTCTAAGAGCAGTAATGTATGCAAATATATGCAAATCTACTGAGGGGCCATATCTCACTGACAGTGTAGTGTCCTGGGCAACAGTCCTGGTCCCCTCATGCCAGTCTTGCTTCCTTCCCCTCCCCCACGCTTAGAGCCAGCAGGGCAAGGCCTGAGGCCCCGCCATGCCTGGCACCCCAGGGCCCAGCAGAGAGAATTCAGTCCCTGTCACACGTTTGCTTGGGCACTTGCTAAATACAGGGGCAGCTGAGGCCCCAGCAGTGACGAGCTTTTCCTGAACCTTCTGTTCCAGAACTGTCTTGGCTCTCCAGTGCTTCGGAGAAATGCTCAGGCCACCGTGCCCAGCAGCCCATCAGCATGTCCCTTCTCTGGCCCTCAGTTACTTCTCTTTCCCAGGGAGCACTGCTCCTACTTCCTGGCCAGGTCTCCAACAGGCACTCCACCTGTATCCCAATACTGAGAAGGTACCAGCCGAGGCTGTGGCCCACAAGGGGTGACGTGTGGCTAAAGGCTTTGTAAAATTGCCTTTATGGATGCCTTGAAATTCCCCCGTTAGCAGTTTGTGAAGTTCTGGGTAGATCTCGCCTCTGTCAGACCTCATCTTCCCTTTTATAAAATCGCTGCTTGGGGTGGGGTGTGCATTCTGTAGCCTCTTCCCTCCTGTGTTGACAGGGCCCAAGGGATGCACCTGTCCTATCATGTTGGTTCCGGTCCCTCGGACCCCTGAACAGGTTGCAGGGGCCTAGAACCTCAACACTACGAGGAGCTGAGGGGTTCAAGCATTCCTTCAGAACAGGACCCCAGCCCGGAAAAAAGTTACACTCTGAGGACCTCGGGCAGCAGGCCCTGGAGGCAGCTCTGGCCACCTTTCTCTGCCTAACTCCCAGGCCCTGGGACGGGAGCCAGAGTAGGGCTCTGATGCCAGGCAGAAGCAGGTGGGAGCTGCTGGCCTTCCCTGGGCCTCAGCTCCATGTCTGTGCAGGACTTGGGGACCTGGGGCCCAGGCGGGGGACCCATCCTGCAAGACATGGGGCCTGGGCCGCAGAGCAGAGCCTGTCCTTCGCTGACCCAGCCCTGGCTGTCCAGGAATGTGCTCCCCATTGCCCGTCCCCTGTGGCTTGGGTTTCAGACCCTGCCCATCCTGGCCAGATGCTGACCTTGAGACGTCGGTGCTGTGTGGAGGACTCATATGGTCAGAGACCTAGGGGTAGACTCTTAATCCCCATACCACTCAGCTGTGGGCTGGCCTGTCCTCTGAGCCTCAGTTTCCCCACTGGCTAGTAGACATATGGGCCTTCAAAGGGCCTCTGTCCAGAGCCATCTTGCCTAGAATTCCATCATGGTCATCCTCTGCAGGGACGATGGCAAGGGGGAAGCACAGGTTGAGAATGAGGCAGGTGATCGGGAGCTGAGGGCCAAGGTTGGGGAGACCTGGGGTGGTGAACAGGGAGGAGTCACTGGTATTCTTATCAAGGACAAGCTGGGCCCCTTGGCCTGAACCACTCTCGGGGCTCTGATATGACACCCAGGGTCTCAGTGAGGGTAGGGCCAGGCCTTTCCCCCTCAACGCCCCAAGAGTCTCTGGGCCGGAAGGAGTGAGGATATTTTGGTGCTCTGAGTGCACAGGGCATGCTGGGAACTGGGTATTTCTGGACTGTGAGGGTGTCTGGCTGGCCTTGGGGATCGGGGAGCCTGGGCCACAGGATTCAGCGAACAGTACTGAAGTTGCCACCGCAAGGCCTCTGTACTCAGCATTTCTGAGGTGGGGCAGAGAGGAGGCCTAGGACACCCGAAGAGCATCCAGCGGGTCCCACCTGGCCTCCTTGTGCCTCCGGGAGCCTGCAGCAATCAGGCCTCACGGCTAAGGCACAGCTGCCCAAGGCCACACCACTGGAGTCCTGGACCTTACCTTCCAGCTGAGCTCCGGGAAGCCCCAGAATGGAGCTCGGCCCCTGGGGCCCTCCTTGGGATGGGGAAGCAGGGCAGGGTCAGCCCGTGGGTGTTCAGAGGCAGGAACGTGCTGTTGTCCTCACCGGCTAGGACTGAGACAGGCCCTAGGGTCAGCGGGTTCTGGGGGTGTGGAAGAAGTCATCCTGACATCCGGGCCAGCACCGACCTGCACTCTAGGGCGGGGTGGGCACCGAGTCCTCCCACCAACTCCCACGCCCCTCCCCCAGGAGCAGAGCCCAGGCAGCCAGGTCTCACTGGCCACGATGCCGGAGGCGCCTGAGGTGCTGGAGGAGACAGTGACAGTGGAGGAGGACCCTGGCACACCCACTTCCCATGTGTCCGTTGTCATGTCAGAAGATGGCACCACAAGGCGCACGGAGACCAAGGTATGGCCAGGCCCAAGTGGTTGGCAGGTGGGCTATGTAGCTGCCGTTGTCCCTTCTGTAGAGTGGGCACATGTCCCAGCCTCCTGGGGACCACTTGTTCGGGTAGAAGACGGAGGGCGCTCTGGCCCCGTGGGGCCGGGTCTGGGTCCCTCAGGCTGCCTAGCCCATTGCTGCCTACTTCCTTACCAGGTCACCAAGACGGTCAAGACGGTGACTACGCGAACAGTGCGCCAGGTGCCTATGGGCCCAGATGGCCTCCCCCTGCTGGATGGTGCCCCCCCACTAGGGCACTTTGCTGATGGCCCCCTGGACCGACACTTCCTGCTGCGTGGAGGTGGCCCGGCTGCCACGCTCTCTCGAACCTACCTCAGCAGTGGGGTTGGCTTTCCTGACAGCCCTGAGCCCCGTGACATCCCCAGCTATGGCAGCCTGTCCCGGGGGCTGGGTGTGCGGCCCCCTCGTGGTGGCCCCCTTGGCCCAGGCCCTGGCGATGGCTGCTTCACACTGCCTGGCCGCCGTGAAGCCTTCACCGAGGGCCCTGACCCTGTGCCGCCGGCCGGGCGCTCCCAGCCTGAGCGCTTCCAGGCAGAGCCCTATGGCTTGGAGGACGACACACGCAGCCTGGCTGCCGATGACGGGGGTGGCCCAGAGCTGGAGGCTGACTATGGCACGGCCGCAAGGAGGAGGCCTGACTGTGGGCGGGGCCTTCGCACTAGGTGAGCAGCACCCTGTGCCCTGCCACCGCCTCCGGGGAGTCTGCCTTCCACTCGCCCACCACAGAGTACCCCACAGGTAGTCTAGCTGCTGGGGCTAAATTAGTCACGCACACGTCAGCTTGGCCTCTGTTCTTCTCAAGCACAGCAGCAAGGATAGGCTCTGGGTTGGTGGAGTTTGCACTGGGGGCCTGTCCTGCAGGTCTGGGGCATGAAAGAAGCTGGTGACAGTGCCCCACACCTGCTGCCCCTGCTCCGGGCAGGTAGCCCTGAAGACAGGAGCCCAACAGGCTCGGGGTGTTTCCCTGAGCGTCAGGCCCCAGCCTCTCCCCAGGCCTCAGTTTCCCCCATGTGCAGTTGCAACCAGAGCCCAGACCCCCACCACAGCCCTTCTCAACGAAACCTCTGGTTCTGTCTACTCTGCCTTTAGTTCGTCTGTCTGTGGAGTGCAAGTGACCACAGCCTGGGTCTGCAGGGTGCTGCGTGTCCATGGGCGGGACTCCTGCCCCCTCCCAGACCCTCCTTGCCTCAGTCCCCCGCCTCCGGGATGTGGGTTTGATGGTGACAACCCACAGAGGCATCTTTGCCCCAGGGGGGCTGGTGGTCTGAATGCCCCTCACGTGGACCCACCAGGACAGTCATGTGCAGAGGCTCACCTCCCCCGGTGTCCTGGCACCAGCCAGAGATGGGCTCATGGGAAGGTGGGACGTCTAGTCATGGACAGATGTTTCATAGAAACACGTTTAGCTGAGAGTCAGGGACACCGACTGGTGATGGAGTGCGTGAGCCGTGTGTGGTAGGGATGCAAGCCCTGATGACCATTGCCTGGGGTTTGCTGCTTTTTTTGGTTCTGGGTCAGTTGTTGCTGGGCTGAGGTTTGACTCTCAGCACCAGTGTTGTGCCTGGGGCCAAGTACCAACACTTGAGGCCCAGCCCCACCCTCTGTGGGTTCATACTCTCCTGCAAGTCTGTTGGGGCTGCTCAGGGGCAGGGCCAGCAGCCAACAAGGACCCACTCATGTGCCCTGCTCACTTGCACAGGGCCTATGAGGACGTGGCAGATGATAGCGGTGAGATGATGGAAGAGAGGCCCCCATTCCCAGCCACGACAGCACCCCTGGCCCAGCCAGAGCGGGGCAGCCTGGGCAGCCTGGACCGGGTGGTGCGGCACTCGCCCTCTGTCGACAGTGCCCGTAAGGAGCCACGTTGGCGGGACCCTGAGCTGCCTGAGGTACTGGCCATGCTGCGGCATCCCGTGGACCCCGTGAAGGCCAATGCAGCTGCCTACCTGCAGCACCTGTGCTTTGAGAATGAGGGTGTCAAGCGGCGTGTGAGGCAGCTGCGGGGACTGCCGCTGCTTGTGGCTCTGCTGGACCACCCGAGGGCAGAGGTGCGGCGCCGGGCCTGTGGGGCACTGCGAAACCTTTCTTACGGCCGAGACACCGACAACAAGGCTGCCATCCGGGACTGCGGCGGTGTGCCCGCCCTGGTGCGCCTGCTGCGGGCTGCCCGGGACAATGAGGTCCGAGAGCTTGTCACAGGTGAGTGGTACCTGGCCATGAGAAGTCCCCAACCTCTACCTCTGACTGCTGCCAGTGGTATAGCTGGCACTGGGCCCTTCAGGCAGGTCCCCTCCCCACCTGGTCTCAGTCCCAACAGGGCAGTGGTGGGGATTGTGTCTTGTGGGACCTGAGTTGCCAGGTAGGGTCACGTGACGACCTCTCAGTGTGGCCCCAGAAATGGTAGACCAACCCACCCATGTGACTGGGAAGGGGTGGGGAAGAGAAGGCACCTGCTGATTCTGGCTCTAGGCTCCCTGCCAGCCTCTCCTCTTGCCCCAGTTCCTCTGGGCCCCACCCACCCCTCCCCTGTGGGAGCCAGTGGTAGGTGCCACATGTCCAGGCTGGGAGAGGCGCTCAGGCCTCTAACAGCTTTTGTCACTTCCTATCTTCTGGTCCGAGCTGGGTATGATGGAAGGTGCAGCAGGTTCTCAACGGGGTTGCCCGGGAGCTAGGGAGGCAGGGCCCGTGGTCAGCACTGGCTGGTCAATGGTGCCCCGCAGGCACGCTCTGGAACCTGTCATCCTACGAGCCCCTGAAGATGGTCATCATTGACCATGGCCTACAGACACTGACTCACGAGGTCATTGTGCCCCACTCGGGCTGGGAGCGAGAGCCCAATGAGGACTCCAAGCCACGGGATGCCGAGTGGACGACTGTCTTCAAGAACACATCAGGCTGCTTGAGGTGGGGGCGGGGCTGGGCTCGGGCATGCCCTGAGCAGCCGCCCTGGGCTGTTCTGGTTGAGGAGGCAGGAGCTGGGCACCAGAACCCATGTGCAAACAGCTGTCCTGGCATAGCCATGTCCTCGCGTCCTGAAAACCAGGAAGGCAGCTGGCTGCCCGAGCCTAGGGCTCAGAGCCGTGTCACAATTCTTGTCTGAGTCCTGAGAGTGGGTCCTGATGGGGCTGTACTTACTCCCAAGGGCCGCCTGTGGACAAGCTCTGCCACCCTGTTGTACCCTATCCCTGCCCAGCTTCAACCCACTCTTCCATCACTGTGGCATCCAGGGAATGACGAGCCAGGACCCCCATCTTCAGTCTGCCTCAGAGGGCTCCTCCCACCTCCTGTGACCTCTCCCCCCACACCCTGGGAGGCCCTGCAGAGACCCTACAGGCAGTCCTGGGTCTCCACAGTCCTGGCTGTCCATCAAGCCATGTCCCCATGGCCCTCGGGGAAGGTGGAGCCCGGAGATGCCATTGGGGCACGAGGAACCCAGAATTGCCTGTGTGGATTCGGGCCTCTGGGCCCACCTCTGCCCCTTTCTAATTTAGCTGGAAGTCAGGACCACCCCTCCCCCCAGCCACAGAGATGCCAGGCTGGAGCCCCCTCCCCAGGGTCTCAGTGGTTAGGCCAGCCCCACCTTCCTTCCCTGCTGCAGGCTGGTGCCATCTGCCAATAATCCCAACAGGGCAGTGTGAGTGCCCATTTTGCAGAGGAAAACTAAACCCCAAGGCCAGGTGGGGACTGGGGGAGTTCCCGGGGGAGCCAGGGGTCACGGAGCTTGCTCTTGGCCACCCAGGAACGTGAGCTCGGATGGCGCAGAGGCCCGGCGGCGACTTCGGGAGTGTGAAGGGCTGGTGGACGCGCTTCTGCATGCCCTTCAGTCAGCCGTGGGCAGGAAGGACACAGACAACAAGGTGGGCTGAGCGGGACGGGACGGTCCCAGCAGGTCCCAGGCAGGGTCAGTCTCAACCTCCTTGAAAGGGTCAGGGAGATGGAGCATAAACAGGGCCCAGGACACTTGAACTATATGGGCGCACAGAGCAGAACTGGCCTGTACCGCTTTTACTGACCGTGCTGTGAAGTGGGCCTGCCACAAAGCCCAGACAAAGTCCTACCGGAAGTAGGTGTTCCACCCTTTTCCTCTCTTGGCCCTTCCCTGAGGACTCTTGCCCGTGTTGGGCCTCCGTTTCTCTACACTCCTGGTCCACTCGGGACACACTAGCTGAGGCTGCTCTTCCCTTAGAGGCTTAGCATTCCCTGTGCCGTACCCCACCAGCTCTCTCCCCCCCACAGTCGGTGGAGAACTGCGTATGCATCATGCGGAACCTATCCTACCACGTGCACAAGGAGGTGCCCGGGGCCGACAGGTACCAGGAGGCCGAGCCCGGGCCCCTGGGCAGTACTGCAGGCTCCCAGCACCGGAGGCGGGATGACGCTGGCTGCTTCGGTGGCAAGAAGGCCAAAGGTGTGTGGGTGGGACTGGGGTACCACTTTAGAACCACTCCTCCTTGCCCCACAATGGGCAGGTGTGGAAGCAGGAAGCCAAGGAAGGTGCACCGCCCCAGGGTACCCATCCGACAGGCCTCGCCTTTATCCCTCAGCCCTGTGGGGACTCCAGGGGAGGGCAGGAGAGAACCCAGGCGGTGGTTCTGACCGGTGCCTGGACCTAGTCCCTTAGCTCCAGGGAGCGTTCTCTGGCCCCACGTTTGGAAAGTGCCGACGCTGATGCCCCTTCCTGGCGTTGGCAGAGCACATGAAGACCCTGAGCAGCTCTGAGGCAGCACCCTTCCCCACCTGAATACCACCCCCACCTTCAGGATGGGTTCCAAAATTCCCCAGCAGCTGCTGGTGGAGTCTACCGCTGTCACCTGCCCCACCCGTGTGGGCCTTTTCTGATCCCTGTCCTACTTGAGGACACTCAACTCCTAAGTGTAATCGGGGTGAGATTCCACATACCACCTGCTCAAACCAGGGTGTGCAGTGGGAAGCCGAGACTTCCTGGGAGGGCACGGGGGGTGCTGCCCGCTCAGGCTCGTCTCCTTTCTCCTGTGCTTCCTCCGGCTGCCCAGAGGACTGGTTCCATCAAGGTGAGTCCCTGTTTGTCCTGCTGTCCAGGCCTGGCGGGTGCAGTGGGCACCAGGGAGGCACCCCCCCAACCCCTTATTGCTCGGGCAGGGCCTTCCAGCCTCGAGGCCCTGCCCCATCCCCAGTGCCTTCTCTGGGCAACCGTCTCCTTGACAACGGCAGGAATGTCAGCTCTGGATTGGTTTGGAGGCCAGAAGGCTGTTTGTCTGTAACCTCAGTCTTTGCTCCCCAGAAAGGGCTGGGCCTGGAACTGGAGCGGAGCTGGTGTGGGCAGCGCCAGGAGGAGTCCCTCCAGTGGAATGGGGCGTGTGTGGCTCAGACAGGGACTGTGTAAAGGCCCCAGGAGGCCGGCCAGGCAGGGTGGGGGCCCCGGGTCATCTAAACTTCGCTCTGCCGCCTTCCAGAGAAGCTCCTTCATCTGAGGCAGGGAAGGTGGCAGGGCGGTGACACGTTCACAGAGGTATACAGGTCCAGGCTGACAGGTGTTAGGCGGTGCCGTGGTAGGGGCCTGGCCTGTGAGCAGGGTCTCTCCTGGTTAGCACAGCCTAGAACAGGGTCTGGGCCCTAGACGGGACATGTTTCGCAGTGGGTGGGACGCACTGGCCCCAGCCTGCCTCGTTGGGAAGCCAGGCACGTCCTGTCCCTGCCAGCCCTCGGCTCCCCTACGTGTACTTACTCACCTGGCAGCCACAAGGAGGCCATTGGGCGTGTCTGCAGTGCAGCTCCCAGCACCTGATGGGAGAAGAGTCCTGGCTGCTCGGGGCAAGGCTGGGACAGCCCCAGGCCCCGCCGCCACTGCTGCCCTCCCCAGGGTCCGCCTGCCTACCCGAACTAAGGACGCCTGTGCTCCTTTGGCCTCTGTACTCTGGCCTGGTGCCTCCTTCTAGAGATGGGCGTCTTCTGGGCAGGAAGGTGCTATGCCCAGCCCTCCTGTCGCACACCTGCCCCCGACAGGCCCGCTTCACCTCCCACTGCTCTTCTGTTCCAGGGAAGAAGGACGGTGAGATGGACCGAAACTTCGACACGCTGGACCTGCCCAAGAGAACTGAGGCAGCCAAAGGTGAGTGGGTGGAGGCGGAGTCCAGGATCGGGACCGTCCAAGAAGGGAAGCTTTGTGCCACTAAACGGGCCTGAAGGGCCTTGGGGATCCAGTGGGGAAACGGCCCACAGGTGTGCGCTTCCCCAGGGGACCTTCCAGTCCCTGGGCACCCGCAGAGCGTTTACAATCAGGGGCAGTGCCACAGGTCACTTCAGGCCGGGTTGGGGGATAGTGAGGCCAGGCACTTGCTGGGTCACACAGCTTTGGAGTGAGGCCCTCATAGAAGGGCAGGGCTGGTTGGCAGGGCCGGTTGTGCCAGCCAAGGGGCTCAGGTTTGCTCCGAGGGGTTTGGGTGCCAGGAGGATGCCGCCAGATCCAGGGCAGAAGCTCGGTCAGATCCCCCTAATTCACACAAGGGCGGAGGGGGTTGTGCTTCTAGTCCTGTGTCTGCTGGAACCCTCCCGTGCGCTGGCATCGTTCTGTGTGATGGGAACCCAGCCCGAGTGAGGGAGAGATCCCAGGCCGCAGCCCATGCTGTGAGCCCAGACGCTCCCAGGCAGAATGGAAGGGCCCAGCCACTGGAGGTGTTGGGGAGCAACACAGGCTGCTGAGGAATCAGTGTTTGGGGAACTGGAAGCCTAGGCAGGCTGGAGTGGAGGGAGCATGGGACATGAGGACCAGCAAGAGGATGATGGCATATGGACGGAGGGGACAGGGAGGAAATGCCCAGGAACAGGCAGAAAAGCTGCCCCCGAAAGCTGCTCAGCCCCTCATCTCTGGACCACCTTAAGGAAGCGCTGCTGCCAGGCCTGGACCTCTTGGAGGATGGGCCCTGTTGCCAAGGGCGGGCTGGTCTTTTTGCCAGGCCCCGCCTCCAGTTGCACAGCCTCTGTTAGCTACCAGGAGGGTGGGCCTTGTTGCTAGGGAGTTTTGAGTCCTGTTGCTAGGGGAGAGGCCCTGGTTGCCACCTTCTCCCCAGTGGCAGGCCTCCTGGAAGCCCTTGTTGCCAGGCAGGTTCCCATTTCTCCGGCAGCAGGGTCAGGGGAAGAACAGCATCTCCCAAACCCACTGTGTCTTCATTGAGCCTCTGTGTGTTCCTCTGTGAAGTGGGCTGCTTTTTCTCTTGGGTGGCCATACCGCGGTTAAACGTTCCTTCACTGCACCACGCTGATCCGTGGGTCCCAGCTCACCCTTGGCCTGGGAGGAGGAGGGAGAGCAGGTGATGTGGGGAAGTCTGGGTGACCATAGGCAGCTGGTGCTCTGTGCCCAGGCTTTGAGTTGCTGTACCAGCCCGAGGTGGTACGTCTCTACCTCTCCCTCCTCACGGAGAGCCGGAACTTCAACACCCTGGAGGCTGCAGCCGGTGCCCTACAGAACCTCAGTGCTGGCAACTGGATGGTGAGGGGCCAAGTCCGGCAGGGAGGGGACAGAAAGGGAATCCCAAGCATCCCTGTCACTGCCTGCTCCTGCCTTTGCCCAGGCTGGGGGGAAGGGAGGACACTGTACCTCCTCAAGGTGTTGGGGGGCAGCGCTGTTCAGGGTGCTAGGGCTGCAGCAGTGCGCCCTGGGTGCAGACCCCTGGTGGGGGTGGAGCTGAGCTGCCGGTGGAGGGCTTTGCCGGGAGGACAGCCCAGCCAAAGGGAGGGGTCAGGGCTCAGGTGGGAGAGTGTCCCTTGTGTGCACGGTGCTGCAACTGCCTGCTGAGCATGCCTCGCCCCCTCTGCTGCGCAGTGGGCCACGTACATTCGCGCCACGGTGCGCAAGGAGCGCGGTCTGCCAGTGCTGGTGGAGCTGCTGCAGTCCGAGACCGACAAGGTGGTACGCGCTGTCGCCATCGCCTTGCGGAACCTTTCGCTGGACCGACGCAACAAGGACCTCATTGGTGAGGACGCAGGTGGGGCTGAGCCTGGATGTGAGCCTGGTGGGCGGCTCCGGGGGTCCTGCCATGGGGACTGGTGGTTCAGGGGCCTGGCCTTGCCCCCATCGCTCTGCCCTAGCTTCTGGAGCTTCAGTCTTCCTCGCCCTGTCCGAGCCTAGCCCCCTGTGCGGGCTCCCCTCTCCTGAATCCCCCTTCTCCCCGCAGGGGTGGGCAGAGGCGTGTCCTAACACCCGAGCCTGCCCCTCAGGGAGCTACGCCATGGCCGAGCTGGTGCGGAACGTGCGCAACGCACAGGCTCCAGCGCGACCGGGGGCCCACTTGGAGGAGGACACGGTGGTGGCCGTGCTCAACACCATCCACGAGATCGTGTCGGACAGCCTGGACAATGCACGCTCGCTGCTGCAGGCCCGTGGCGTGCCAGCGCTGGTGGCCCTTGGTGCCTCCAGGTGGGTGGGGAGAGGGGGGAGGGGCCCGTGGGTGGGACTGGACACTGACCCCGTCCTGGGCCTGGCCACAGCCAATCAGTGCGAGAGGCGAAGGCTGCGTCCCACGTGCTGCAGACAGTGTGGAGCTACAAGGAGCTGCGTGGCGCCCTGCAGAGGGATGGCTGGACCAAGGCGCGCTTCCAGGTGCGGCCGCGCAGCCTTTCTCACTTTGCCAGGGCGGGTCCCCTGCCTGAGCGCCCTTGACCCCCACCCCTGCCTCCCTTGTGCTCTCTCTCCTCTAGTCGGCCACTGCTAATGCCAAGGGGCCCAAGGCAGCACTGAGTTCTGGAGGCTTTGACGACAGCACGCTGCCGCTGGTGGACAAGAGCCTCGGTGAGCACTGGGCGGGGTGGGGGCGCGTCAGAACCCATCCCTGAAGTTTCAGAGTAGCCCCTCCACCCAGAGCATTGATGGCAATAAGGCCTGTGAGGAGTGGAGGAGGGAGGCTGTCCTCCTTACAGAAAAGTGGCCCCTGTCCCTGTTGGCAGCCTACTATCTACGTCCTCTCCACCCATGGTATCCACGTGGGTGCAAACTTATGGCGGGGGTGGGGGGGCGCGGGTTGCCGGTGGTCAGTGGCTCAGGAGAAAGGTGCAAAGATGCTAGCGATGAGGGGTATCCAGGGTCTCTGAGGCCAGCCCTGCCACAGGGGGTTTATCTGCCCTGGTCCCCCCACTGCCGCTTGCAACCAGCCAGCAGCCTGCCTGTGCCTTGCAGACGGTGAGAAGCCAGGCAGCCGGGATGTGATCCCCATGGAGGCCCTTGGCCCAGGTGAGCGCAGGTGCTTGTTTCCTGGTCGGAGAGAGGAGTGCCTGAGGCGGGCTGGGTGGTTTTGCGGGGGCGGGGAGGGTGTTGCTGAGAAGTCCATCCCAGGAGGCGCTGGTTGGAAAGGGGATTTGGTTTAGGGTTGCTCAGGGAGTGAAGGGGTGAGGCAGCCAGGGAGAGGTCAGCGCCCAGTCAGGGTCTCTAGTCTGTCAGCCGAGGGGAGGCTGGAGGGTCCTGAGCTGCTGGGGGTGTCGGGGGGGGGGCAGGTGAGCCCCTGCAAGGCCTGAGCCGCTTGCGGCAGGGGTTGGTGAGAGCGGGGGAGGGGCTGTGAGAAGGGCGGTCCTGCGCCTCCAGGACCGGGCCAGGGCAGGACAGGGAAGTGCCGTCTCCAGATGCGCCCTGTCCCAGAGGCCTCCTGTCTGGGCTGAGAGGGAAACCTGCTCCTGCGGGGCGTGCCCCTCAGAATCCGTCTGTGTCCCCCCAGATGGGTGCTCCCCAGTGGACCAGAGGGAGTGGAGGCCTCGAGGCAGCGCCCCTGCAGGGGACGTCTCTGAGAAGGAACCTTTAAAAGTAAGTGGCTGTGGGCAGGGGCCCAGGGAGATGGCACGTGTAGCTATTGCCTAGAGAGGGACTCGGGCAAGATGGTCTGGGCCCCGGGGTCCGCCTGGAGTGGGGCTCACCGGCAGGGCAGCTGGGCTGGGAGACAGCCCAGGGAGTGGCCCCTTGACCTTGGGAACCTCATGCCAGAGTCAGCCTGGGGGTGCAGGTGGTTTAAAGTTCACACTCATTGGGAGGAAGGGGGCATGTGACAGAGGACACTTGCCCTGCACAGTGTGTAGAGTCAGAGCAAGTGGTGTCTGCACCCTACACTGCGTGTGGGGAAGGACCCATCATGGTCCCACCTCCAGGGCAGCTCCTGCCACCTGCTCTGTGCCATCCCCCTGGCTTTGGGCACAGGCCTCGGCGCACCCACTCGTCCCTCTGCCTCTGTGTGAGCCAGGTTAACTCGGCTCCCGCCCCCTCAGCCCTCCCCTCCTGCGCACCAGCATGGGCCCTGCCCCACTGACCAGCCCCGCCCCCACAGTCAGCTCTGACTAACCTCCTCTGTTCTGCCTCTAACCCGCCTGCCCACCACCCATCTGCTGCAGCCTGACCCCAGCAGGAAGGCTCCTCCGGGGCCCAGCAGGCCCGCGGTCAGGCTGGTGGACGCTGTGGGGGACGCTAAGCCTCAGCCCGTTGACTCCTGGGTCTAGCTTGCATGCCTGGTACGTTCTCTCCTCTGGTTGTTTGTCCAACTGTTTCCCGTTTTCTGGGCGGGGGTTTTGTTGATCTGTGCTGGCTGCATGCTCTGTTCTCCCTGTGTGCTCCCTGGCGGGACTCCTCCCCGCTCTACCACCTCGAGCCCAGCTGCCTCAATGCCCATCTCAGGGAAGGACAAGCCGCGTCAGGGCCCTGACATGGGACCAGAGCAGGGATGCCCCCGCCCCGGCCCCCACCTTCAAATACCCCAAACACACGGCCTCTGAAGACCAGGAAGTTGGGATTGGCTCTGGTGCCGAGATCCTCAGAGTCTGCCTACACCACCCGCAGCGGCTGCCTTTGTATACACCTCCACCCGCCTAGGCCGTGGAGGCAGCCCCCAGCCCTTAGGCCACCCTGCTCAGTCTTCCCCTCCCTCCTCAGGGCCTGGGCCCAGCCTTTCATTCTTAGGGATCTGATCTTGGGAAGAAGGGAACTCCAGGGCCGGCCTGCACAGACCCAGCGTGGAGCTTGGAGCCCCCTGGCTGCAGGGGTTGGCAGCACCTCTGCGCCAGATCCAAGGCTGGACTTGAAAGGACCTGCCTACCTTCCCGCCCCTGGCTCCCTCCCCCCTAACTCCCTAGGCAGAGTTAGCTGTTTACTGACATGGTGCTGTGTGCATGGTGCTGTGTGCGAGTGAGACAGAAGGCTGATGGGGCTGCGGGGCAGGGCCCTGGGAGGCGGCAGGAGAGGGGGCCTGGCTTTGCTTTGGGATCAGAGGACTAAGAGAATGTAGCCCTGTGTGAGCAGTGCCCCAGAAGAGCCAGGCAGCTGGCCCTGGGGACAGGCATCTGGGCTGGGAGCGGGGCTCAGAAGGAGTTTGACCTTGGAGGGTAGAGGGGATCCCCTGGGTTCCAGCTCCCCCCACTGTGCGGCTGGCCAACCGCCAGGGGGCTGACCACGAAGAGCGGACTGGAGACAGCGAGATGGGGGCCAGGCTGTTTTTGCCCCCACCCTGCCCTTGGATGTGTGGAACCCCAGGGCAGTGGGGGGCTTCCTAAGTGACACGGGCCCTGGTGGAGCTTCTGCATCCTGTCTGCCAGAGCCCCGGGGACTGAGAGCTCTGGGACTGACCCTCAGCAGCAGTGGGGGACCGCTGTTCAGTGCCTGCTGTTTGTGACTTCAGAAGAAAAACACTGACAAAAAGCATTAAAAAACAAAACCAAAATAAGACTGTATTGGTAAACACGTACATTTTTGTAAGAAAATTGAAAAATTAAAAACAACAAAGGAACTTCATGGCTCAGACCTCTTGCCACAAGCTGATTACTCCTCCCTGTTTGCCAGGTGGGGGCTTGGGGGTAGGGTGAGGTGGTCCCAGGTGACCAGTGGGAGCCCGGCCCTCAGGTCCCATGGGCGTTTCCTACGTATATCCTGCCAGACTCGCTTCCATCCTCTTTCTACATGCAAAGAGGAGCGGGCCTGCTCCTGGGTGGTTACCTGGGCCCTGCGCCCCAGAGGTTTCCTGGCCAGAGGTTTCTCTGGGCAGAGACACCTCCTCCAGGACAGGGCAATCCCTGGGAGCCTCTGAGGTGACCAGAGGTTGGAGGGACAGCATTGGGGCTGGGGGCAGGTAGGGATTTAGCAGAAGCAAACCAACTCTACCTCGTCACTCACCAGCTGCGCAGCCTGGTCTGAGCCCACTGTCTCTTTCCTAAGCAAGGTGGAGTGGGACTGAGCGGGGAAGGGGCTTCCACTCAGTGCCCCACGGGCCTGAGGGGCCAGGTGCCGGAGAGACCGTGCCTAACACTGCTGTGGGGTCCCCCACTCCCCAATAACTGCTTGGTCAGAGATGGGTGTGAAGGGTGGCTGACTGCCCTGTTCAGGTTTCCCAGGTGAGACAGCCTCCAGGGTGAGGACTTAGCCCAGCTGGGTGCTGTCCCTGTGAGTCTGTCCTCAGCCTGGCCGCTGGAGGAGCCGTGTTGGGACTGGGAGCCCCCTGGGCACACAGGCAACATTAGCATCCAGTCAAGGGGCGTGCTATGTGTTGGGTGCCAAAGTAGAGGGCACCAGGGAAAACAGGCACAGCGCAGTGGTTGAAAAGAAACACAAAGTTGACCTCTTATATCCAAATATGTATTGAGATCTTTAATTACTAGTTTAGTATTCTTTAATCATGATATTAGTGTATAAGGTTATTAACAGTCAAACAATTTTAGTGAAGCTGCATTTCATTCTTGAAAAAACTTGTAGGGATCAAAGGTGTGACCTGCTGTTGGTTGCAGAGCTATCACTGAGGCAGTGCTGCCACCTGGTGGTGAGTGCAAAGCTCAAGGACAGACAGTGCATACATAGCCAAAGCTGCAACGGGTTCCCAACTTCCTCCACATCCTGTGTCTGAGAACCTGCCCATGGAAGGAACCCTACTGGAATGCTCGTGGGGCTGAGTGACGTGGTCACAGGCACCAGCTACCCTGAATTGTTGTTTACAGATACTTTTCAGATGTACTGCAGCGATCTGCACTGCGATCAGGTTGCCCTCAGGGTGGGTCAGCGTGAGACAGCCAGAGGGGCCCGGGTGGGCTGGCCCCGGCCTCAAGTGTGGACAGATCCCAGAACTACAGAAGTGGGGCTGGCAGCAGCATATCCAGCACACCCTTCATAACCAGACTTGGCGACTGACCCGGAGCAAGCAGGAAGTCAGGGCAGCGCTGGGCTGCCTGGGCCCAGGTACACGGCCTTCTCCAGGCCATCCACCACCTCTGAGTACTCCAGGTAGGAGGAGAAGAATGTGCTCTCAAAGCGGCTATTCCTACGCACGTATGCCAGAAAGTCTGGTGCTCCTGGGAAGATTACGTTGTCAGCCAGCAACACTGTCCCCTTTCGTAACAGGCCACACTCCTGCAAGAGACAAGACAAATTGGAGGTGGTAAGGGTCAGAGATGCCCAGTGAGCTTACACCAAACCAACGGGACAGGTGAACCTGGCCAGGTGGGGGCTCCACGTGGTGGCCGGATGACAGGGTTAGCACCCCCCCCCCCACCAGCTCCTAGCGCCACGAGGGTCCCTCTGCAGCCCGCCCTCTCCTCCCTGGCAGCGACCGCTGGCAGGGCAGGGCTCTTGCTGAGTGCAGGTCCCACCTCTAGAACATCAGCTCTGCGAGGAAGGATCTTCTGTTCCTCCATTCACTCCTGTACCCTTAGCCCCTAGAACAGCGTGTGCTACACAACAGGTGCTCACTAAATGCCAGTGAGATGAGTCAGTAGAGGTAACAATGGGGCCAGGATTCGGGTCCCAGTGCTAAGGCCAGTGGGTCCATCATCCCGTGCCAAGAAAATGTGGTTTCTCCGGGTGGGAGAAATGCCCGGTGCCCTGTGTGTGGCTCCTGAGGGCGATTGCGGGAGGTGCAACCTGGCCTGACCTGCAGGGCTGGGGGGTGAGGGTGGCGGAGGCAGATCTCCCACCTACAGCCCTGCTCCTCAGGGATTCTCTTTTGACATCCCCAAGCCCGGGCATTTGACACGCCCCATTCTATCAGTGGCTGGGCCCCAGTGGCCAGCCGCTGTTCCCAGGCCTGGGCTGTGCAGAACAGCAGCTGGACACAGCATAGGCCCCCCGAGCGTTTGCAGTCTCTATAAACTACGGGAGGAGCTGCTTCATTGCTTGAAATTATAGAATGAGGAACCTTAAGGGGAAATGTTTACCTCGGGGGAGAGACTAGGGCAGGGGTCGCCCCAAGTTGCCTTGTCTCCTGGATTTGGCTTTGGAAGCACAGAATTTTTTTTTTTTAACATAACAGTTAAAAAAAAAAAGGGAGGGGGCCAATCCCAAACATGAAAAAGAATGTGAAACAAATGACCTCAGGGGGCTTCACCTTATAGGTAGGACCACATGTGTGGGGCATCTCCAAGTGAGTGAAAATCAAGGGGCTGTAATTCACCCCCCTCTAGGGCTGCGCCCTATGACAGAGTCTCACTGCAGTCTCAGCCGTCCTGCTGGCGGCTGTGGTCACTCTCCTGTGGGGAAAGCCAAGGGCCTTCCAGCTAGAGCCTAAGAAAACACACAACTGTAAGGTCGGCAAGGCTGGGACAACCCATGAGGCAGAATTTGAACAGAAAGTATCATTATAAATCACAGAGTGCTTTCTCTTATAAAAAGAAAAGAACTTCCCAGCAATATTGCCTAAAAAGACCGAACAGAGAGCAGCCCAGGAAGACGGGCCCCCGGCCCAGGCCCCTGGAGGGCTGCTCAGGTGTGCAGCTGGGAGCGCACAAGGTAAGCTGGGAGCAGGGACTCCAGCCTGAGGGTCACGCCTAAGGACTCAGGGCATGCCACTGGCCACAGATGGGGCTATCAGTGAATTGAAAAACACCAGACACAAAACCATCGTTAACAGGGCAAGAAAGGAATGAAAGGAAGAAAACTTCGGCCATCTTTGGAGGGTGCTAGGGCCCAGCTATCCCTGAGGAAGCTGGTCATCGGGGAAGAAGGCGGTACTTGCACCGCCCTTCGACACCAAGTGCTTCCTGACAGAGGATGCAGGCCCTCTGGAGACTTCTGGCCAGAAGCTCACAGAGTTTGGGCCAGCCTGTTGTGCTAACTGCCAAAGGGAGGAAACGGTGTGCAGAGGACCCGGGCGCCAAGGGTGAGATGATTTAAAACTGTGTCCACAGCTCACTGACCTTCAAGAGATATTGTGGGGGATGGTGAAGGCTGACATCAAAAGCCAGGTTAGGCGCTTGGCAAAGCCATGCTTGACTGCTTGTTATCTGCAAAGCAGAGCAAGCTGGCAACTGGCGACAGCCCAAGCCCAGGGTTGGGGGTGGGGTGGGGCTGAGAAGGGAGTAGATAACCGCAAGCTTCCGCTGAAGATGACTGCAGCCTTTGCAGAAGAAAGCTTTATTATGTAGATAGCCTGGGAACAGAACCATCCGTGCCCACGTGCCCACTGCGTTCCCCCAAGTCTGCAAAACTCCCTTGAGCTTTATCTAACCAACCCGGATAAAATAAACGCGGAGACTGCAGTCGTTGTCATTGTCTCTCCATAGGAGGACAATGTCCCCCCTGGCCCCCGCTTTTCTCTAAATTGTCTTGTGTTGTGTCTCTGTGTTGTGTTGTCCTTTCTCAATCTCCCATCGCTCCCACCCAAGGACCACCACTCCGCGCGCATCGCGGCAAGGTATTGATGTGGGCTGGGGTGGTGGCTGGCTTCTAACAAAGGGTGTGGCTTCAGGGACTAGGTCATACAAGGCACCTAGCCATCTTTGCTCCTTCTGTTTGTCGCTCGCTTGCTCTCACCTCTGGCTTCGGGGGAAGCCGGCCACCATGGGGTGAGGACACCTCAAGCCGCCCTATAGAGATGCCCACGGGGGACTGAGGCCTCCTCGAAGCTGCCGTCCAACTTTGAACTGCCACCTGCCCCGGCCAGCCCTTCACTACCAACAGAGGGCAGGGGCAGCTGGTCCTGACCCAGCACAAGCCAGAGGTGCGGGGCTGCAGAACACTCGCTCAAGAAGCACAGCCATTCCCATCTGTGACTTCTCTTCTTTTGAGGTAATGACCAGCCCTGAACAAGGAGTGCTGAGACAACTATTAAGTTTCCTGGTTACTAAATGACAATATTTGCCACTTCTCTGTAATCATCATACACACCAAAGCTGCTGCAATCCTCCTTGCTCTCTGTGACGCAAGCCCAGGTGGGTTGGCTACCTGATCTCTGCCATTAACACCCGATTTCCAGGTTCAGGCTCCACTGCCTGGTGGCCCTCCCCCGACCCAGGCATGCTCCCCATAGCTGCCCCACGCCTGACCGTGGGTCTCCTTGTCATCTCCCCACTGACCGCCCACCTTGGCTAACACAGGTGACCGGCACAACTCCTGGTCCCTGGATGCCCTCCCTTTTTCCAACACCAGCGCTCATGGCCTCCCTGGGGTTCCCCACACCTGCACCAAGCCCTCCTGCCTTGCTCTCCACATGCCCGACAGGGGTCTTGCCTGCAGGCATGTCTCACCTCACCCTCAGGTGCTTCGAGTCCTCGTGCCCCACCCATGTGGCATCTGAGGCCCTCCACACAGAGCCCCAGCCCACTGCCCCGGATCGGCCCGCTCCGGGAACATTCTGTGCCTTTTCACACCCACCAAAACCACTGGGTTGGAGGTGCTGCCCAGCCTTCAGCCACGGCTCGGGTGGCCACGCCTCTTGTACTCACAGTCCCTCCACACCGGGCAGAGTATCTGGCCCATGGGGGAGCTGAGACAGGGGAGCACAGGACAGATAACACGGGACAGCCTCAGGCTGGCCCTCAGACAGGGAGGCCGGATTAGGACAGAGCGTGCCAAGCCCTCCTTGAGGGCCAAGAAGCTGCTAGGTGTACCCACGAGGCAGTGGTCATTCATATTAAGCTCCATGTGCCAGCTCATGACGGGCCCCATGCTCCACCCTTCTGACACAAGGAAGCCCCATTGGTCACAGCGTGGCGCCGGCTGAGCAGCCGGCACCAAGGTCTGGGACAGCCGGGGTGGGGCAATGGAGGGCTGCACAACAAGGAGCCTCAGGAGGAAGAACAGCAGGGGACGCTGGCTTCCCTAACCAGCACCAGCCGTCTGGGTGAGAGCCAGCCAGCGTGGCCACCTGCTGCTTCCCTGCTGCCTCCTCTGTCCCGTGCCCTTTCGGATCAGACCGCCTGGTCCGTGGGCTCACCCCACCCTGCTGCCCTGGCACAGGCTGCCCAGAACCTTTCCTCAGGTCTCCATCCTGCCCCGGCGCCTCCTGCAGTCCTCTGTGTTGCTTGTGCCACTTGTGGCCCTCAGGGCCACCCTTGGCAGGGCTTGGCGGGAGCTCCCGGCTCTCAGCCAGGCTGAGGCCCACCGACCCTGTGCCAGCAGCCAGCCCATTCTGTCTGGGCTGCACGGCTCACCTCCAGGAGGAGCGTGTCTGGCAGATATCGATCCTTCCAGTGGTCAAGGAAGACCATGTCCAGCGTGTCCACGTCATATTTCTTCTTCAGCTGGGGGATGATGTCCTGGGATGCCCCGACAATAACGGTCACCTGGAACAGTGCTCTGTCAGTGCCTGTGCCCAAGGGGGTCCAAGAGACCACCACGCTTGGCCACCCAGGCATATGTCCACTGACAGCTTCTCTGGGGTCCTGATGAGACAAGTGTCCATTCTGTCCCCTCCCCCTCAGGGGTTTCCTGTGCTGTGGAAATGAGCAGCAAGAACACCCTTACAGAGCTGCTGGGGGTTCCATGAAACCTGGCCCAGGAGGCTCTGTGGGCCTGGCTACGGTAGGATAAATGTCGCCTTGAACCATGTGGGGCGGGCCCCGGGCCCTCCCCCTCCCGCCCACCCACCCACCCCCAGCCCCTGTCAGTTTCCACATCTGTCACTGGGGGACGCATTGCACCCTGTCCTGCAGGCCCGCGAAGTCCAGCATCTGCTGGGTGATGGCGGCGTAGTCGGGGTTAATCTCGATGGTGAGCAGGCGGGCGCCGGGCGGCAGCAGGCGGGCCATCCGCACGGCTGAGTAGCCGCAGTAGGCCCCCAGCTCCAGCAACGTGGAGGGGCGCTGCTCCTGCACCACGGCGTCCACTATCAGGCCTTTGGGGGAGTGGAAAGAGGGAATGAGGGCAGGCAGGAGGAGACCCACTCCCAGTCCTGGTTCTGTCCCTTCTGGCTGAGCAACAGCCCCTTCCAGTGCCTGGCCCCCAATCCTCCCCAAAGGCCATGGTCCCACTATGCACCCCCCACCCCTGCAAGCTTCCATAGTCCCTTAGGCCTCTGTGCCTTTCCACATACTAGTGCCCCCCTTTCCATGGTCCCTGGCTGGCTCCTACTGGTCCTAATCCGGAGCTGCCCTCTGTGGAAGCCCCCATCCCTTCCTGTCCATGAACCACGCTCAGCGCCCGCCTGGCTCCCTTGAGCTGGACACTTTGAAGGGCTCTGAGGGGGCTGGACAGTGGCTGTCACATCTGTCCTCAGGGCTGGACTTTAGGGAGGCAGCACAGCACGTGCCTGTGCCCATGCTGGGGTGCAAGGGTCAGGAGGCAGCCCAGGGAAGGGCCCAGTGCCTGAGCTGGGCAGATCCCAATGCCTGGCAGGGGCACCCAGGAACCCACTGCCCACCCCGCACCAGCCCCCCTCTCTGAGAGACAGCATGTGAGTACAGGGTCTGCAAGGAGCCCCTGCTGCCTCTTATAACTAATATTGGCTGTTGGACTGTGGCAAAGTGGGGGACTCTGAACAGTGGCCACCTGAGGTTTATCAAATGTCCCTCTCCACGGGGTCTCTGCACAGCCTTTGCTCCTGGATGGGCAGGTGGCCGGGGTCCCCAGGGCTCCAGCTAAGCCCCTACCCCCAACACCGAGAAACTGGGTGATAACAGGCCCGTTTGGTCAATGGGCTGTGCTGCCTGGCCTAGGGTCCCCATTCCTGTATTTGCTGCCTGCTGGCCAGACCACCCACCTTTCTTGTCACCCACGTTCATGGCCCATTCCTTGTGTAAGCAGTAGGTGTCGATGGTGTCCAGCGTGCTCTGGGGGTCTCCGGCCACTGCATGCTGCAGCACATACTGCAGGATGCGCTGCTCCTTGCTGCTGCCTGAGAATAGGTTGTGGATGGGGTTCATGACCAACTCATTCCAGGAGATGAAAAACGTGACACTGCGGCATCGCAGGACGAGCAGCAGCAGCACCAGCAGCGCCAGGCACAGTGAGAACGTCAGCAGCAGGGCTTCCAGCATCTGAGATGGGGCAGGGGTTGGGTCAGGGAGGAGGGGAGAGGAGGCGGGGAGGGAGTTAGGGTAGGGCAACCAGCCCCAGTGCTTTGTGACTGGCCAGGCCCCTCAGGCTACTGCATACCTGCCCTCCTGGCTCACTTGCTTTCTCCTCAGTTTGGTGGTGCTACCACTGGTACCCCTCATGCTGATGGGGCCCCAAGGTTTAAAAGGTCAGCCAAGTGGCCCAGCACATGTTTGTGCCTATGCTGGAGTCCAAATGTCAGGGGGCAGCCCAGGACAGGGCTCAGTGCCCGAGCTGGGCAGAACCCAAGGGGGATATAGGCCCAACCCTCCTGCAAATAGGTTCCGGCCAGGACTGAATCCTCAGGCACACAGAGCAAGTGTGTCTGACACTGCTGTCCGGAGGCCTGCTGTTGCCCTGACCTAGATAAGCACAGCTGGCTTGAGGTGATAACATATAGCATGGGGCGGGGGGGACCAGTCCATGTGCAGCCCACATGGGCGCCCACTCAGGGTAGTCTGGGATTCTCTGTCCTTTAAGGGAATAGCCAAATAAGGACATAGGTGGTCCCCAGGCCAGGCACACGGGGTGAGTCTACCTCTCTTTATCTTTTTTTAAACCTCGCACGAAGATATGTTTTACTGATTTCAGAGAGAGAGAAAGGGAGAAAAAGGAAAAGGGGAAGAGAGAGAGAGAAACATCGATGTGAAAGAGAAACATTGATCGGTTGCCTATCTTATGTGCCCTGACTGGGGCTCAAACCTGCAACCTAGGTATAGGTCTTGGCTGGGGATCGAACCAGCAACCTTTTGGTGTAGGGGACAACACTCCCACCAACTGAGCCACCTGGCCAAGGCATGAGTCCCTCTCTTCACAAGGAAGGCCAGCCCTGCCACCTGAACCACAGTGTGAGCAAGACGTGCCAGCGGTATCAGTTGCTACGCAGGGTTTGGCATGTCGTCTCCCTGGCTCATCACCCTTCAGAACGGTGGTTCCGGATCCAGTTGGGCCCCAGAGTCAGGGTAAGGCTGAGCCAGCCCAGAGAACTGTTCAAAAGAGCTAGGAACCTAACCTCCCTAAGTGCCAGTTAGTGACCCCAGGTGGTATCACATGGACCAAACCCTACCCCCCAATTCTGCTTTTTGGAATTTTTCACTTCCCTGACTCTTCGCAAGCTCCCAACGCCTGGGCTCCCCCCTCTCACCTCAATCTGCTTTTTAAAACACCCAGTTGCCTCTGGGCAAATCAAGCTCTTTACTCCACTGTCAGTAGTTACTGTATAAAATCTGTCCTCAAGGCTTCAGCTAGAGTCTGGCTCTGTCTGTGATGCTGCTCCCCTCACAGGACCTGCAGTGCCCCTCAGAGCCCCGCTAGGAGGTGGGAGGCAGCAGGCACTCAGGGAAGCTCAGTCTCAGGCAAAAGACACAAAAGTCCCTGGCTGGAAAAAACAAAAAGTTAGCAGCTCATGCCTGGGTGACCTTCCCTTTCTCTACATTGGAAGGGCGAGAGTTGGGGAGGCGGGGAGTCAGGAAGGCCCAGGCGGTGGTGGTGCAGTGAGGCCACACTATCTGGACACAGTCCTGAGGGGTGTTGGGCTACTTGTCGTTCCCTCCCTGGTGGGGCAGCCATTCCCCTTTAAGGAAAGGCCTGAGGGTACCCCAAGGCCTCCCAGAGGGAACTTTTTGGGAATATCACTGAGCGCTTCCGGGTGTGGGCCTCCCCAATTCTCACACGCCCAAGGTTCTGATCCCAGCTCAAAGACGAATGGGACTCGCTTATGGTGAAGGGTTGCCTCTGCAATCGGGTCACAAAGTCAACGTCCTCCCCCACAGAAACGCCCCCGCCCTAGGGGTCTGGATTCCCACGGGTAGTGGGATACCCCACCCCAGTCTGCACCCCTATCCCCAAGTCGGATCTTGCAGCCCACATGGACACAGAGCACAGAGTTCCAACTCCCTCAGTTAAGTCCGATTCCCCTCCTCCCAGCTCCTATGCAGAGACCCCCACCCAAGGTCGGACCCCTTCTTCTGGGTCCGAATTCCCCACCCCTCCACCGAATTCCCCACCCCTCCACCGGAATCCCTACCGCCAGGCCCAGAGGCTCCTACCCCAGGTCGGACCCCAGCAGTAGGTCAGATCTCCTCCCGGATGGGGCCCCGCAGCCCGCGCGCGCACTCGTCTTGCCCTGGCGGACACCCGGACACCCTGGCCGGCGCAGGCAGCGCGGCGGGCAGCCCAGTCACCGAGGCCCCGATGGCGGCGATGGCGGTGCGAGCGGCGGCGCTTTGGGGAGTCCCCGGGCGCTTCCGGTGGCGGATGCAGGCCTCAGCGGGCGCCGTGTGGGGCGCTGCACGGGGCGCTGCGCGGAAGACAGCAGGTAGGGCGGGGTCCGACCGGGGCTGTCCGCGTGATGGTGTCGCCATGTGTAGCAGTGTCAGCCGGGACAGGAGTCCTGCAGCTCCCAGCCACCCTCAGAGCCGTTTCCAAGGAGAAACACACGGCTGGGTGACCCTGCCCGAAGTCCCGCCGGGTGGCGGTACCCGTTCGTGCTCACCCACCCTGAGGTTCCCTGGGACCGTGCTCTCCACACCTGGCCTCCTCCGCCCCAGGCCCTAGTGGCCTTGCCCAGCAAGCGCCCCAGCCGTGCACGTGCAGGACGGCGGTGAGGAGACGATGCTAGGGAACCAGTAGACTCTCAACGTCCACAGCCTGCCTGGGCTCTGCAAGTGCCCGTGAAGCCGGAAGGGCCGGCCTTCGGGCTGCCTGTCACCTACCAGACCCCATGAACAGAGACAGGGATTGAATCTTTCTATGCGCTTTACTCAGATGTCCCGCGATCTGAGAAGGACACGGGTTTGTACCCTAACTGACCCACCCGCATTTCCTTGGAAGCCAGCCTTTTTATAACAGAGAACAAAGTGTGGTGAGGAGTTTGGAATTCAAGGGAAATTAGATAAAGAAAAAACTGCCGCATTCTCGCCCTGGGCAGTCGTCTCTTCCTGAAACACAAAGTCACGGGCATCTCCCGCTGTGCCTCAGGCTGTTGGTCTGGTTTAGTTCCTTGGCTTTAGCCCAGGGCTGTCTGTCCCTCCCTGGAGCACAGTGGCTGAACTGCACCTGGATCGCTTGTGGCCCCTCGAGGAGCACAAAGATCAATTGCTGTGGTTTCCTGGGTCAGGGTGGGCTCTATCTGCAGCTCCCGAAACAGCAGCTTTTCCACATGCATTTACTACTTAGGCTTATCAGTTCCCCAGAAGTAGAATTTTCCAACTTTGGAGTCCCCCCTCACCCTGGGGGAGGAAAGAATATATGGCCCAACCTCCTGGAGCCACTAAGGAGGGTCTGGAGTACAGTTGAGGAAGCCTGGCTGCCCAGAGCTGTGTCCAGACATTCGGTCCATGGCCAAGTGTGGACCGAACCAGAACAGTAATCACTATGAGTGCTGGAGCGCCAGCCTGGTCTGGCGCAGCGGCTGGTCACTCAGGAGGGTTTGAGCGGGCGTTGAAGGGCCTGAGCAAGGACCGGGCAAGGGCTTCTTCACAGAGCGGCTGTGGGAAGAGGTGTGGAAGGAAGGGCGGTCATGCCCTTGGCCAACGGCAGACTGGAGGGCAGGACTGACTGTGTATAAATTAGCAGACCTGTGTATTTCTGTGGCCTTGGAAGCCACAATTTGGGTGTGCACAGTGAGTGGGGAGAGCAAACTGCAGGGAAGCCAATGAGAGGTGCTGTAAACAGGAGCTGCCCTTCTGGTCACAAGCCAGAGCCCTTTGAACTGAGGGTTACACTATGGCATAGTTTCCAGTTGGGCAGGAGGCGGTGACCCAAGAATTCTGCTCCCCACTCCCCGCCCCGTGTTAAGGTGATGAACAGGTAGGACTGACCCCAACGAGGGCACCAGGTCAGATTTTGAGCCTCTTCCTCCACTGCCGCCCTGCGGCTTCTCTAAGAGCAGAAAGATGCCTGCCCCTGCCCCAGGCTTGGGGGGAAGCTGATGCACCCCCTGAACAGAAACCAGCATGACAGCGCTGCTGGCTTCACCTGTTCCCTAACACTTGCTGCCAGGGCGTCCCCGAGGCGGCTGGCACACCTGTGGGCCACTCGCCACACTTGCTAGGGTCCTGTGCCAGGCACCACGCACAGGGAAGAGCAGAAAAAAGGACGGTGAGCTCAGAACTCAAAGGCCAGGCAGACCTTTCCGGGCCAGCCCTGCCTGCCGTGCCTGGCCGAGGTGGGGAGGGTGAGGCTGTGAGACCCCACAGGGCATGGAATGCACAGATGACCCCAGGTAACCCTGCAGAGGAGCGCCCTTCCCTCCCGCCCTGGGGTTCTTTAGGGTCCTTCCTAACTAAACCTTCCCAAGACTTAGTTAAAGGCAGATTTCCTACACTTAGAGCAGGCCTCGCTGCCGGCCTCTTCCAAGTGACTATCAGACCCAGAAGGCTCCTGGGTGTGCACAGTGAGTGGGGACAGCAAATTGCTAAAGATAAGCCCACAATCCACAGGGCCAGTTGCTCCCCCTGTGCTCTGCCTGGTAGCTGGCTGGGTGGGGTAGGGGGCACAGGGCCAGGCTTAGGGGCAGGGAGACTCAGGGGGAACCTGCTGTGGCGGCAGGAAGGACGGGCGCCTGCAATGGAAGGTAGGGGTGTTCTCCTCAGCAAAACCTCCCCTGTTGCCCCACGGCCAGCCAGAGCAATTCAGCCCTGCCCAGCAGGCTGGTGCTCCTCATCCGGCAGTGGCTTTTCTCCAGCAGCAGCTGGTCTTTGGTTCTCTGGGCTCATCGCGAAGCCGTCAGAATAACTGACAGCAGTTTAAAGCCTCTTTAGAGTCCTTGAGTTGTATTTGGGATTGGGTCCACTTTGGACCAGCTGCTCAAACTGAGCTGTGGCTCCCTTAGATCCGTGAGTACCTGTACACACGTCTCAGGTACCTTCAAATGCCTCCTCCTGGAGGGAACCTGGATGAGCCCTGCTGCGTGGTAGACACAGCTGAGTGTCCCCATGGGACAGGCTGCCTGCAGGCCATGGACCGAGTGCCTGGACACAGCTCTGGGCGGCTGCTCCCCAGGCTTCCTCAGCTGCACCCCAGGGCCCCCTCTAGGCTCCAGCTCCTCTGTCCCTGACAGAAAACAGCCACCAGAGTGGCCCGTGGGGCATCTACTGAGCCGAGGTCCCTGATGGGCATGGGACTCTGGGCGTCCTCCCCGCAGCCAGGACAGGGGAGGCGGATGAAAAACGGTTGCACTCTTCTCACTGACGGGCCCTGGCCCTGATGTGGGTATGGGTGGGCTCACTGGCCTCGGATGGCAGACCCAGCACCGTGGACCTTGCCTGGGGGCAGCAGTCTGTGCCCTCCCCTCCACAGACTGATAAGTTTCTATTATTCCTTCCTTCATCCACAGGTGGCAGGCCTGTGCCTGCGCTGGGTGTCCCCAGCTTCGGCCCTGGGTCAGAGCTGTCACAGGCTGGCCATACCCAAGGACACCCCTATCCTCACCTACTCCCCCGACTCCCTCCGTCCATGTCCTCTTTTTGCTTGACTGCCTTCCGTGTCAGTAGTTAGCAGAAGAGACGCAGGTGATGCCTCCTGCGGGGCAGCAGGATGGGAGCAGCCGTCTGCGCCAGGCGCAGGCGTGGAGGACGCACGCTGTCTCTGTGATCACACCACAGTGAGCCCCAAAGGCATCCCAGGGGCAACTCAGGGCCTCCCCACTCTTACTGTGGCTCAGAGTGGGTTCCCTCTGGAGCCCAGTGTGCACCAGGTGCTCTGCAAGGCTTGGCTGTGCCACCTGACGCAGGAGCAACTCTTTATGTTCCTGCACTTATATATAACAAGGTAACCTTCACAACAGAAAGGCCAGTGGGAGCAAGAAAAACACTTGCATCCTGCCTGGCTCAGAACGTTGGGTGACTTTGGCGTTCAGAGCAGTCCTGCCAGTTAAATTTCCTTCTTAAGTGGCGGGGGCGGGGGGCGGTGGGAGGTGCAAAGGCGGCTGCGCATCTCCCATCCGCCCAGGCATGGCGTGGCCTCGGGACTCGCGCAGACGTCCTGGGCCTCATCACTGCCCTCTGCCCCGTGTGTATGCCCCACACCCCAACCATCACAGTGTGGCGTCTTCTACCCAATAAAATAGATCCTGTGCCACTTTTAACCAGACGGGGCTGCTTGCCTTTTGGTAATTGTGTGCCACCTTCTGGGGTTTGTACCCTAGACTTGACCTACCCTCCCTTCTTACCCCTCACTTCTTACCCCAGCAGGACGGCAGGACTATGATCTCCTGGTGATTGGTGGCGGATCTGGCGGCCTGGCCTGTGCCAAGGAAGGTATGTGTCCTGTGTCCTATATTCTGCTGACATCCCAAGGCTTTCAGGGCTGGGTGGGGATGTGTCCCGAGGGGCCATGAGCAGAACGCACTGCCTCCACAGTTGGCTGCCAGGGTCCTGTCACCCTGCCAGGGTCACCCTAGCACTCTTGTCACTGTGCCCTTCTCCGACTGCACCCCAGTTGTCTGTGCCCCACACAGCAGCCAGGCTGGAACCCCAAGACTGAGCCTGCCCTGCTTGGCACCAGCCTCAGGCCTCCCAGGATCTCCCCCCGCCAAAGGGATACGCCTGCCGCCATCCACACCCTCCCTCTCAGGGCTCCAGGCTCCTGCCTCTTTGCTGTTTTGCAGAAATGCTTCCCTAGGTCCGTTTGGCCGTGTGCCTTGTCCTGGCGGTTGCCCTGCCGAGCCGGCTTTTTACCTGCCCTGTTAGCTGTGGGGCTCACTCACTTCCCTTCAGTCTGTTGCTGAGATGACCCTACTTAGAACCGGATCCCTTCTGCACATCCAGTTCCTATCATTGGCTCCACTATCCTTGTTCTCAGCCCTGGCACTGTCCGGCAGATATCACGGTTTGTTCTGCTGGCTGTGTCTCGCTCTCCAGATGGGCTGGACACCCAGGTGGGCCAGACACTCAGGGACGCTGAGCTGAGATGTGTGCAGTAAACGGGCAAGACCTGGGGACATCCTGGGACATCGTGTTACAGTGTGCTGCTCACCCAGGCGGCAGAGCTCACGGCCAGAGTGTCACTGTGGACCCTGTGCTCTGCTGTTGGTGTGCCCGGTGGTCTGCTCCCCAGTCTAAAGGACAAGGAGGCAGATGTGGGAGAGTGAAAGAGAGGAGATGGGAGAGGGACAGGCCCCTAAACAAGAGCGCCTTGAGCAGGCACCCTGGCCATGAAACTCTGGCTCTCCCACGGCCGATACTGGGTTTTAGAATCACAGATGGCGTAAAGGAAATTCGCCATCCACTGTTCTTGGTCTGAGGG